GAGGCCCCCACCCACACTTCCCTTCCCCCACAGGAGGGTCCCAGGCTCTCTGCCTCTCCAGTTGTCAGCAGTACAGGACACATGGCCTAGCTCTTTTCACATGCCCTGTGAGGGGCTGGGCGATACCTTCATTGGGTTGTGATTATCTGTGGTTGTGCTCCCAAACATGCTGGTCCCACCAGTCCCAAATCCAGAGGCTGATCCAAACAGACTCATGTTGGCTGTAAAACAAAGGGGGAAGATGTGAGGACAGTCCTTTCTGAGGTAACAGCACGCACCACAGAGGGATGAGCACTCTGAGCTAAGCCAGGCCTTGCTCTTCAGCAGACTTAAAATTGCAGCAAGCAGCCGGGTGGTGGTAGCCCACGCCTTTAATCCCAGCACTCGGGAGGCAGAGGCAGGTGGATCTCTGTGAGTTCAAGGCCGGGCTGGACTGACAGCCTCCAAAACAATACAGAGAAATCCTGTCTCGTAGAACAAAACAAAACAAAAATGCAGCAAGCAGAATGTCTTACAAAAGGAGTCTTTCTGCCCAGCACAGTATAATCCCACACTCAGGCAGAGGGAGGAGGGTCTCTGAGTCTGAGGCCAGCCTGGACTACAAAGTGAGTTACAGGGCAGCCAGGTTACACTGATCCAGTCTCACAAACAAACTCTCGTCTTTTTAGAGCAGTTTTAGCCCCTAGAAACTACTGGAGCGATGCCCTTACCAGTACTAGGGCACCAACACAGACATGTTTCAGCCTCTTCGTCAGCTGCCAAGACAGAGCTGTTTTCTCTCTCCAGAGACAACTGCACACCAGGCACCCTCCTGGGAGCTCTCTCTCCTGTACTCTAGGTCAATGTCTACATGGAGCTACTCAGAAAGAACCACCAGTCCTGCCAGGACTGGAAGAAAAGCAATCCACTTTGGCCTACTGAGAACCAAACGGCCTGTGACACAGCGTAGATTCGGAGCCAGCAATTCCTAAACTGCACAGTCTACTGGGCCTGCCTATCACCACACCTCACTTTCAGGCTGTGCAAGGCCAACAGTGCACCCTCCCCAGGGCTGCCTTGAGAGCCACACTAGGCTATGCAAAGTGCTCAGGCACGAACAACACACGGTGCACAAGCCTGGAAACCGGAGTGTGATCCCCGGAATCTGACCACCATGTGTGGACTGTGGCATGCAGGCCCTGGCACGTAACAAATGAATAATGCAGAGACAGGCTGTGGTCAGCCAGGTGATATGGGACTTGTAATCTCAGCCCTTGGGACATGGTTGTCAGGAGGATCGGGTCATTCCTAATTATACAGCAGGTCTGAAGCCAGCCTAGTCCATAAGAGAACCTATTTAAAAAAAGAAAGAAAAGCATCTGCACGGTCTACCACATGCTGAATGCAACAAACAGCGTCGTTTCCAAGGAAACCATCTGTGTACTGTATGTAACTCCCCAAGACGCGCATTTACTTACATAACACTTCAAACTGTTACTAACGGGGAGGTTTTTACACTCAGAAACCTACCAAGTCAGTCAGTTCTGCAAAGGGAAGCTAACACCGATCAATCCACTTGCCAGTAAGGGTCGCTTCCTTAAAACACGGGTGGGGGTGGGGGGGCGACTTTGCATTCGGCGGGCTTTTTAACAGACAAGGGGTGAGAGCCACAGTCAGCACGCTCACATCTACGGAAAGGGCCGGGGAGGCGACCCGGCGGGGTTGACTACGAGCCTGCCTGTGCATGCGGAGACGGACTGACTCACGGGTTTCCCGCTTGCAGAGCCAGCACGGGAAGGCAGGCGCTTCTGCACAGCTGCGTGTCGTGGGGGGCGTGAACCGAGCTTTGGAACCAGAACCATTAACCCGTGCTTCCCGGAGCTGTGACACGGAGTCACGCGCGGTCGCAGCTCCTCCACGGGAGGACCGGCTAGGGTCTGCTCTCTATTTCTAAGTCACCGAGCGGGGGCTGCGCCCGTGAGGGCAGCGTCCACGGAGGCCACGGGGGAGGGCGTGGGCTCGAGGCGGCTGGGAGCCGCCTCTCCGGCCCCAACTCCTCCGAGAGCTGCTTTCTTGGGCTTCGGGGGAGAACCCAGGCTCACGCGGCCGCGGGCTGGCTGGGAAGCCACTCTGGGAGCTCAGGACGGCCTTGAACTCGGGGCCTCCGCCTCCCAAGCGCTCGCCCGCCCCCCGCCGGGTCCGCCTCACCTGTCCCCACCTCCCGTGGCCCGGGCGACGCGCAGGCGCGGCCGGGGCCGGCCGAGGGGGCCGCGCACGGACGGCTGCCGGGAGGGGCGGCCCGGCTTCGGGGTCCCCCACGCGGCCGGCGGGGACCGGGTCGCGGCGCGCGAGGGCCCCGGGGGTTGCGCACGCGGCGGGGCGCGAAGCCACGAACCTGTTCCGACGAAGGGCGGAGGGGGCGCGGCCGGGAGACCCCAGAACCTAGAGTCGTCTCAAGCCGGTGGGAGCTGCCCCGTTACCACAGCAGCACCGCGCACGCGCCACAAGTCGCTTCCGGGGCCGCCCGGAAGGCGTCACGGAGCGGCGTCCCTCCGGGCGCAGGGCGGATGCACATGCGCAGTAGCGCCACTGAGGCCAGCAGGAAGTCCCTGCGCCAGGAGTTTGTGGGAAGTCGGCCCTTTGGCCGTTGCGGGGCAACTCGTTGAGGAAAGGGCGTTGTTCTCACGTGTGTGTGTGTGTGTGTGTGTGTGTGTGTGTGTGTGTGTGTGTGTGTGTGTGTGTGTGTGTGTGTGTGTGTGTGTGTGTGTGTGTGTGTGTGTGTGTGTGTGTGTGTGTGCTGCTTGAACGTCTCAGGCGGTCTCAAGAGCAGAGGCCTCTTTCAGAGGACGCAGGTTCGAGCCCCAGCGCTCACTCGACGGCTTAGCGTTCCAAGAGAACCAACGCCCTCTTCTGGTCTCTGTGGCCACTGCACGCGCGTGGTACACAGAAACGCGTGCTGCCAGAATACCCATATGCGGAAAATTAAATTAAATTAAGAAAAAAAAAGGCGAGTTCGTCAACTCATGCCCAAGGCTATTCTCCGAGAGGCTGCCTACTGCAGCGGCACGAGGAGGGGAACGGTGCCTACTCCGTGGGCTGTTTGCCGAAGATTTGATTTCTCTGCATGGATGTTTCATGCCACAGAGCCTAGAGAAGAGTGTAGGATCCCCTCAGCCTGGAGTTACACCGTTGAGCCACCCAGGGAGTGCTGGGAACCGAAGAGCAGCGTGCTCTTAACCGCTGAGCCCCAGGAACTGGCCTGAAACACCAGCAAGACTTCCTTTGTGGAATGTTCCATTTAGAATGTTAAATGTGTCGGACAAAATGACGACACAATTAGCCAGACTCCAGGCTGAGGAGTCCAGGGAACCAATCAAAGAAAGGTAGTTTTAGAGACAAAGAAAAGCTGAACGCCGATAATGAGGAACAAAATGGGATTGGTTGCCCCACAATTACTTTTCTTGCTGGGCAAGGGCTGGCAGGCGTTGAGTCCCAGGAGGTAGAGGCAGAGGCAGGCAGATCTCTGAGTTCCAGCCCCGTCAGAGCTACACATAAGGCTCTGTCTCCAAAACAACTTTTGAAGATTTAAGGCAGATAACTCTGAAATACAGCCAAGAAGCCTGCTGTTTAGGGGAACAGAATGGACCGGCGGCCGTTGCCTGTCTTCCAGTGGCTAACCCAAACACAGCAGCTCACGTCCTGTGTCTGCCTCTGAACTGTCTTATGCAAACACATACTTTATGTGAATACTCCCACTCCATCCTCAGAACGGCTGTATGGGCTCTTGTCATTTATTGCCCTCTCTCATCGTGGCTGTGAGACAGAGACCACATTAGAACCTGTCCCCCACCACAGATGCGGGGACTGAAGGGAACCCCGGAGCCTGGCTGCACATGAGAGGCGGTATTGCCTCTTCCCCAAGCCTAAACACCAAAGGAGATCAACCATCTACGTACTCAGTGTGGCTAAAAACTCACAGAAATCCGGTGTGGTGGTGCATGCCTCTCATCCCAGCACTCGGGAGGCAGAGGCAGGTGGGTCTCTGAGTTCGAGGCCAGCCTGGTCTACAGAGTGGGTTTCAGGAGAGCCAGAGCTACACAGGGAAACCCTGTTAAAGCAAAGCAAAGCAAAAACAAAACAAAATACCCAAAACACATACAAATGGAAACAGTGAAATTTTGGCTGTGACTGTCACCCACATTGGTGAAGTCTCAGAGAAAACTCAGGACAGCCTGCAGTTTATAGTCCACGTCCAAGAGACTGGACGTGCTTATAAGTTTAGTTTCAGCTAAGTTTTCAACTTAAATGATACTCAACTTGGACATTTTTATTGGCAAGGTCTCATAGACTGGCTTAAAGTTTGCGAGCTGTTTGGCGGCCAGGTGCGGACCCTTGGGAGTGGAGATGCCCAGAGCAGATTACTCATGAGGCCTCAGAAGTGCTTCCCAGGTCCTCCTGGCATCCCACGGCTTCTTTTAACGAGCCTCACACATTTCCATCTAGTCCTTTTAAAAGTGACTTGGAAATAATTTTGAGGAAATTCCCACTCAAAAGAGTGGAAGGATTTTTGTGGCCAGCAAGCTTTAGCCAGCAGAGGGCAGGCTTGGCCTGTCTTAGGGGGCTGTGGTTACGGGTGTGCCTCTGGGGACAGTCCATTCAGGGACTGTCATCTGGTGTTGGTCCACACTGCCTACTGCAGACACCCCAGCATCAGTGTGGGGTTTTCAGGGTGTCTGTTCTCTCAGCAGCAGCACCTCACAGAGACTGGCCCCACTCTGACAGTCAGCCAGGAGGCCTGAAGTCATGAGGGACGTCTTAGAGGATTTGCCCTATTTTTGTACAACGGGCACTGCTTGTTCCCTACCCCTCTGAAACCATGGCTTCTGAAGTCACTTAGCATCGCCAATAACGACAGTTCAATTTCCCAGAAAATGGGAGGTTACAGTTTTTTTTTTTAATGAGGGCCATTATGAGCCCTTAAGGAACAACCAAGAGTCTCAGAACATACTTTGTGGTGCCCGTCCCTACTCACCCTAACTACAAACAGACTCCAGCCTGTGCTCTTCCACAGGGACCCAGGAGACGATGGCACCTTGAGGGCATGTCAGTTGCCAGCTGCCATTTGAAAGAGCTAATGTGCGGTAATGCTTTCTAAAAGCTGGTCTTGTGAGTTAGAATTCTAGATGGTTCCCAAAACTTTAGCACCAGCAGCTTCTCATCTGCATCCAATCAAGGTGGGTAGCATAGCCAACCTCCATTTTCATTCCCCAAATAATAGAAAATTATTTTAGGAGAATTTCCAGGAGTAAAGTTTAGATAATTTAATTAGGTGAACTGAATGAATCTGAAAGCTATCTTTAAATTTATTTCCAAGTTTTCATGACTACTGAAGTCTTGTATTTCCCTCCCATTTTGACAATATAGCCTAACCCAGATGTTCTGTAGGTTAAATATATTTATAACTTGTACTTTCTTTTTTAGCTTGTCAAAATTCAGTGACATTATTGCATGTTAGTATCATGTATAAATTTAAAGAAAACATTAGTAATTTTAAAAAGCTTTAAATAATCTTGATAAGTCTCATAAGGAAGTCAAATCAACAGCATATTAAAATTTTCTCAATATAAAATTTTCAGTATCCTGTGTGTCCAGGAGCTGTCTTAATGCCATGGGTATGATATCAGGGCCTTGATTTAGCACAGGCTTAGCCTTTCCCCTGGCAGTGTGCATGCAGGATACATGAGAAGCAGTCTCCAGACTCAAGGTGACATCTAGTCTGTGGACACAGAACAGTCAGTTATTAAACTTCCCTGTGCCTTCATTTCCCCATCTGTAAAATGGGGTGGTGAGTTAAGGGACTTAACTTACAGGATGAGGTGAGTCAGCATTTGTGAAGCCCTTAGAAACATACATACTGTGTGATACATATCGAGTGTCTTCTTTTATCGTCCTATTGCCTTTTTAATCTTTACTACAAGTTCTTGGGCAGGGAGGGCCAGTGCCATAGCTAGTGACCAGGGTGATCACATGGAACCAGCTCAGTTGAATTCTCTGTTGCTGCTATCTTGGAATTTCTTTTTTTGTTGTTGTTTTGTTTTTCTTTTTTATGCTTTACTTATTTTTATTTTACATGCATTGGTTTTTCACCGAGGTGGTTGGTATTGTTGTCTCCTAATGCTATTGTGTGAGGCTTCAGACAAGCGCCACCTTCAGAGCTCGCACCTGTAAACTACAGAGTCATTACTGGGGGAACGGGGTGAGATCGTGTGCACTCAGTGGCAGCACCTGTAAACTACAGAGTCATTACTGGGGGAACGGGGTGAGATCGTGTGCACTCAGAGCTCGCCCCTGTAAACTACAGAGTCATTACTGGGGGAACGGGGTGAGATCGTGTGCACTCAGTGGCAGCACCTGTAAGCTACAGAGTCATGACTGGGGGAACAGGGTGAGATCGTGTGCACTCAGTGGCAGCACCCACACACTTGCAGGATTGGTCCTATTACATCAGCTCTGCTGAGCCTTACAAAGCAAGCAGCATTTACATCCTTCCGGAAGTGTGCAGACATGCAGACAGTTGAAGCTTCTGTTCACTTAGGGATGCACTGAGACCATAAAGGTCACCTCTGGCAAAATTAGAGCTAGAGGGGGTGAGCACAGCCTACTGTAGGAGAAGCCTCGTGGCAGTCAGTCTTAGCACCCAGAGAACAAAGAGGAACTGGATGTTGGACTCTGGGCAACCCTGTGTGGCCGGAAAGCAGGCTCGGGTGCAGGTCACAGGTGGAGACACACACTGGAAATGGGCGGAGCAAGGCACCGGACACACCAACTCGAGTACTTGTCTGTAATGAACTTCATTAGTTTCACAGGTACATTAACAGGGCAAGGAAGCAAAAGAAGGTACAAGAAAAAATATCATGTAATTCCTTTGCAGCCTCTTGAGTTTCGATCGCTGTTTTTGTTGCTAGTGAGACACTTAATATGTACACTAGCTATGTTGCAGGAAGTTTTGTGTGTGTTTACGGTTTTTGGGACAGGGTTTCTCTGTGAGACAGTCCTTGCAGTCCTGGAACTCACTCTGTAGACCAGGCTGGCCTGGAACTCGACATCCACCTGCCTCTGCCTCCCAAGTGCTGGGATTAGCATCGTGCATCACCACCGCCCAACAGAAGTAAATATTTTTATAGACTTTTATATGGAACAGTTTTTCTAATAAAATTTAAAAATTAATTACTTTATGGTCACTCTAGAACACAGAATAAGAATCTGTCTTTACAGAAGATCAAACAGTCTAAAGAGCATCATGGATTTGCTTTGACAAACATATTAATGTAAAATTATTTTTACCGTTGCAGAGTTAAGACTAGGTATTCCTCCACGCAGTGTTCCCAGTTCAGACAAGCAGGTGAAGGCTCTGGTATGTACACACCGCCTAGCTGTGATCTTAAATCCACCCTCCAAACCTCAGCTTGTTGGGTAAGTACACTCTGGAAAGGTAGTCTGCCGACAGGAAGGTCAAGGCTTGGATCTCCGCCTTCATCTTAGAGTCTGCCATCATTTCCAGCTGCCAGAGGTACCACAGTGTTACCAGTGTCTGTGAGGAGCCACAAGCCTGCTAGAGCATCTAGGATGGCTAGTGGTCAGGACTGTCAGGTCAGGCCTTATGACTCTAGCGCTATTGTTCTGAGACTTTTGTGAGTTCTTTCTTCTTTATCGGATAAACTGTGATACCATCACTGTTAACATGACGTAACCATGTACACACTCTAGACTTAAATATACACAGGCAGGACATGAACTTAGAAGAGGCACCATGCAGGGGAGGGAGAACAAGAGCAGATAATGGAGGAGGAAAAGAAAGACGCTGTGCATCTCTACATGCAGGCTCTAGGTTTAGCATGTCATGTGGTATGTGAGAGCTGAAAGGGACCATGCTGGGGTAGGAGTGGGGCCTGCCAGCAGAGATGACCTGCAGTGGGGATTGGGGGAGTAGATGAGCAAAGTACCGTGATATATGTGCATGAAATGCTATAATAAAACCCATTATCTTGTACACTAACTGAAAACATTAATTAAGAATCAGTAACGATGATAAAAATGAAACAAATTGAAGGACATGCTGACAGGATTGTGTGATCAGCTACCACTACAATGAATGGAAAAGCACACAGCGTTTGTGTTTGCATTTTATAAGAACACGCTGCCTACCTCTTTTCTCCAGAAGGGTTGGTAGGTAATATAAGGCCTCTTCAGGATACTGTCCAGTTTCATATGGTCACACTTTGTCAGTGGAATCAAACTCTCCTTAGGTATGTTTAACCTAGAAAAAATTGGATTGGAGTGATCAGTAAAAACAAACTGTTCTGTATTTATGCTGTTATGTCAACAAACTAAGAAAAACAAGTGAGAAAATCAGTCCAGTGCCCCTCCCCAGGCTCAGCATCTGTGGCTCTGTGTCACGGGCTGGGAGTTTTCCAAGTTCAAGGTAGAAATTTGTGTTGTCATAGAAACAGATTCTGTCCTTCCTACCCCTCCCCACCTGAGCGATGAAAACAGACAGACACTGGCTATAAACAAAGCACTGACGTCAGGCCCACTGAGAGAGCTAGTGTGGACAAGCCCAGCTTTCTGCTTCCGCAGCTGTGTGCTCCCGCAGGAGTGGCCAGTGGCTGACAGGTAGAAATCAGGAAGTGGCTGCCTACTAAGCACTTGAGGATGTGTGTCTATTATCTGGTCTGAAGTCTGAAAACAGTGGAGAGATCTGAGTTTACGGTGTAACCTGCTCTTGAAGTCACAAGACCGAGACTTCAGGGAAACTCTCGCTTCTGCTTTCCTGCTCAGTGTTCCGATCACCCCACACATGTGCCGGAGGCAGCTCCTGGCTGGCTGACTGAAGGGACTCCAGTGCTGCTCCTTGCAGCCTCTTTCCTCTGGTCATGCATCCATCTGGAGTGGCTCTGAGGACACGGGGGACTTAGGAGCCACAGCTGGAGTTCCTCCAAGACCTCTGCCTTAAAAGCCATCAGGTTCCTTGTCCCAAATCTGTGTTTGTGCAAAGAGGTCACTCCAAGGGATCGTAGCCATAACAAGTAACTGCCTGGTTTAAATTCTGCTTCCTTCTCCGGAAGTATTAAAAACTCCAGGAGAAATTTTTCCTTCCTACTAAGTCCATAGCTTCATGGTCCCCATGTTTGGGAAATGAGCATCTACATCCAAGACAGCCTAGTGTCTCAGGAAACCCCCGCACACACCCAAGTTCCTCTCACAGGGAAAGGAGAATAGTAACAGGGTGTTTGAGGGGCTGCAGGGATGGCTCAGTCCTTAAGAGTGTACATTGCTCCTGCAGAGGACCCAAGTTTAATTACAGCATCCGCACTGAACAGCTCACAACTGCCTGCCTGTCACTCCAGCTCAGGGGTTCCAAGGCTTCCATCCTCTGTGAGTACCTGCACTCACATGCTCAACCCCCCAGGACCTGCACATAATTAAATATTTCATAAGTATTTGAAAAGCAGTATTCCCCCCATGGTGAGGTCCAGGTGGCTCATTCTCCAGGGAGAACAGGACCCTGTTGAAGGCAGGGGAAGCTTCAAACACACGCACGCACGCACGCATGCACGCACGCACACACAGACTACACAAAGATTCAGGTAAAGGCTTAATCATCAGAGGACCCTTTGATGTGCCTGCGCCTACAGTCTGGGCAGAGCAGTTGGGAGGGATGGCCTGAGCACGTGCTGGCATGGGGAGAGTTGAAATTCAGGAGTTGGAACTGTTACCATGAGGTCGCAGGAGAAAAATGTATTCACAACAACAAAAGTGATCACATTGTGTTGTATGCAGAAACCAGATGACAAAGGAACAGAGGACCTTAAGGTTTCTGGGGAGAGGTCATAGCTATGGGCAGAAAACCACCAGCCATCCAGAACTGTCCTGCCTTAAATGACCCTTAACTTTAAGTACTGGGAGTTCCCAAACTCTGATATTAAGATATGATCACTCTATGAAGTTAGAACATTTAAGATCAGGACTAAAATTTCAGACCTCACACTTACCTGTGTTTGTGAGGCAGAGTCTCACTCTGAAGTTCAGGCTGGCCTCAGGCTCAGTCCCCTGAGCACAGGATTTCAATATGCTGCCATGTCTCTCCTTGCATTAACGAAATTCATTGAGTTCTTGCCTTTTGTTTTTTGAGACAGAGCCTCTTTATGTAGTAGCCCTGGCTGTCCTGGCACTCACTATAGAGACCAGGCTGGTCTCAAACACGGAGACCCATCTGTCTCTGTCTCCCAAGTGCTGGGATTAAAGGTGTGTACCATCATGCCCAGCCTGCATTAACTATGAAATGTGCTTTATAACTACAGTCAGCACGCCCTTTTTAGTGATGCCAGGCATGTCAAGCACACTGCAGTGAGACGTCTTACCTTCTAATATCAGAAGGGAGGAGACCAAGCCATCTGATAGTTGGGACGGTGAGACTGTGGGCTTCGAAAGACATGGACTGGACAGAGAGCAGAGCTGTGTCAGGTGAGCTGGGCAGGGCCCTGGCTTTCTATTCTGGCAGCAGGGAGAGGTGGCCTGGACCATTGCTCTGTTCATCTCTGGCCTACGCTCACTTCCTCCCTCCCTGCTCTGCCACCCCTCTGCTATGACCTTGGCTAGGCCGTGGGCTCATTTGGAGATGCAGGGTCAGCGGGCTTGGAAGGAACCTGGATGAAGGAATTTGATCACACGGGCTCCAGTGTGGACTTGAGGTTTTCCCTTCTCTCACTGTGGGAGTCACAGTGGCAAAGTCAGAACTGGATGCTGCATGTGACACTTATGGTCTATCTGATGCTCCTTAGGAGCAGATCAGACAGGATGGCTGTGCTCTTGCAGGCAGCTCGTCCCTGTGTTACCTGTGGGTGGCTGTTCATGCTAGGGGCTGAGCTCACACCACTGAAGCACAGATTGGCTCTGGAAGAGATCAGCATTTCCCCTAGGACATTCTGGAGAGCATTGGCCGGCTAGGGGTGTAAGTAAACCGCAGTGACTGTACACGGATATGATGAAGAAGGGCAGATACACTTTCCTGTACTCACCATGGATCCGTACTTATAGATGCACATTATCTCGATGCCTGTTGAGAGTGAGCTTCAAAATTAGACTCAGATCACAGCTATGGAATCTGCACTCTCAAACTTCATCTAACATCTAAATCTTACTTCTGTGGACATTACCAATGAAAACTTACGTTCTTAGTCTCATATACTAAACAATGCCTTAAATGATTACAGCCTTTAATTTGACTATATTAGTAGTACCTCAATTTATTGCTTTACTGATTACCATGCTGGATATTGAAACTAAAACATGATGCACGCTAGCCAAGTACCATACCACCGAGCTATCCCCTAGCCCATACAATACACTGAGCAAATGTTCTAAGAGCAAAAACCCCATAATCACAAGTATGACTTGTCAGGACTGGACTGTTGTCCCAAATAGTCCCGGAGAGATTACCATGTGGATCAGCATCTACCAGTGTGAACACAGGAAGACGAAATGCGTCCCACAGCCTCTTCACCAGGAGCCTTGTGTTCAGGTCTGGGATGCCCTTGCCCTGAAAGCAGACAGAGTCAGGCATCGCGGCCCCAGGAGGGTTGGGTACATTCTGCCCATATCTCTTCAGCACTGACAAGTGAGCCCCACCCTGACTTGCAGGTTGGGGAGCTCTAGTGCTGATGGTAAAGAGAGTGTGCCGTGTGCAACAAGAAGAACCATGTGTGTTCACACTTGCGCTTCCAGAATGCCCGTTTGAAGTTCCCACCCCAAGGAAACAGGAACAGAGAGAATAAAGGCCCTGCACACTCAGAGGTGCTCACTCTGTGATGTCTGAAATAGCAGAGGGAGGACCAGTGAGATGGCTCAGCAGATAAAACCTGAGTTCAATCACTGGGGCAGACATGATGCCAGCAGATGGAGCAGACACCTACAGATTGTCATTCATCTTCTGTATCGCCTCTTGGCTCTTTAGGTTCACCCAAGGATACCACTAGGATTTCCTGCCATCACCTCAAGAGTCCATGCCAAAGCTGCTCTTGGAACTTCTCTCACAAAGAGCTGAGTGCTTGTGTCTGTCCTGTGGCTCTGAGCGGCGCTGCTGCAGTCAGGTGCCACAGGTCGTGTAGACTCCCCACAATCAGGAGTCACCTGGTCCTTCTCAAGTGCCCTTCGTTCAGTCCTCACGCCCCCCCATACATATACTGAGGTAAGTCCAGACCTTACAAGAAGCCATCTGCCCCACAGGCTGCCACATACACCATAGTACTCAAAGCCTCCCAGGAGCCTATCTTTTTGCTGTGGGACTGGCCAGGCCTACAAGGCTCCCCCAGCTACCCTGTGCCTCCTCTGGGACTCCCTCCTGGCTATGCTAAGGCTGTAAACAGCTTTTTTCTCTGAGGAGCAGGTTTCTATAGCTGTGTAAACGGTTGCTGGGGAGCGATCAGAGGTGAGGGGCCCTGACCCACCCTCTTACTCGGCAGCCCGCATCTGTGTGCACCCCAAGCTTTCTTCCCTCCTGCAGCCAGTTCCTGGGGTTTCTCCTCACATTACCATACCACAGGAAGCTAACTACCTTAGGAGACCAATGCTTCTGTGTCATATAAATCCCTGTCAGCACACTACCCTTCAATGTGAGGGCTCAGGAGGTGAGGCTTTGGAACAGAGAACAGACGGGTGGACTCCCCTGAATGGGATGAAAGCCTTACATAAGGGACCCTGAGCGGCTTTCTCCCGCCTGTGTCTTGCTCTTCCGTCCCTGTGAACACTCAATGAGAAGAGAGCTTCTCAGCAGCTAGGAAGGGGCTGCACTTAGCAGACAGAAGCAGCTAACACAGGGCTTGGCCCCAGGCTGCAGAAGTTTGAGAGGTACACATGTGGCTTCATTCTCCCTGGCTGCTGCATTTCTGGGCTAGCTGTTGCTGGCTGAGACACTGCCTTTGCTGAGCTATCCTATAAGTCCACTGCTGTCACCACACCACCTGTGCCTCCATTAGTGCTGCAGTGCGTGTTTGAAAGGGAAAGCTCCTTTAGCCTGACCCAGGGAATCACCCGGGATGAGAACTCGGGAGAAGGACTGCAAGCACGGTCAGTGCCTTCAGCCCTGGAGAAACACCCTGTGGCAGGAATGTGTGAGGGGCACAGAGGAGCAAAATAACAAAGTCTATTTGGGTAAATGGCTGCTGTTTAGGAATAGAGACCCTCATCTGAACATGAGTTGGGTTTAGGATGTTGAAGTAAGCACCTTGGGCACTTCTGCTCTGTGAAACTAGATAATGCATTCTATTGGACAGGGAGGGACATGGTGCACAGATGTTGTTGGAATCTCTCTCCAGGCACCAGTGATAGAGTGAGGCAGATAGCCTACCGTGACCATGATGCATGGGGACATTCTGCTGCAGAAGTTGTCATCCAGGAGCCGTTGAAATGTTGCATCCTTCTCTACTATTAACAGGAACTTGGCGTCTGTGATCAGATCTGTGGGGCTAAGGTTGAGAAACTACAGGCACAGCATGAGTTCAGTCACCACTACATTACCATACCACATACCTTGACTCGAAGGCAGCTACAGCGACAAAGTTTTCATTTTACTTCCCAATGTCTACATTCACCCAGGTATACAGGTGTCTGTCTCTACTTCACAGTGAGCTCCCAAGAGCCCTAGCAAGGCCTGTGGCTACTTGTCTCTATGGTCTAACTTGTTTGTTACACAACAGGAAGGCAAAGTTCTTTGAGAGAGCATTCCAGTTTAAACAGTCTTCCCACTGAAGGATACTCCGGATCCCTTGGATGTTAGATGGCACAGCAGTAGCCTAAGTTAAAAAGGAAGAACAGAACTAGGCATTTTGTAAGTTAAATAAAATAAAAAGTGTAACTACACTTTATAATTCATCGCCTCAATTGTATGCTTTCAGTTTTCTTTGATCGGTAGTCTAGAGACTGTCGCTCAGTGAGGAACAGACCAGCCCCTAGGAAAGCAGACACACTTGGCTTCCCCAGCAGGGATGGTTGTGGAAACTTTGCACAGCTGTGGCTCAGCAGACAGGCTGAAGCAAAGTGTCCCAATGCAGGGCACCAGCAGATCACTGTGCCCTGTCCTGATGGGAACATCAGCCCACCCACACCGCCACTCTAGTGCAGCTTCAGCAAGGGTTTTGGGAAGAAATATGCTCATTTCAGAACCACACAGATTACAGCCATGCCAAAAAGGCCATGCCACACACTATTTGAAAATATCAGCACACTTTAAAAGAGAATGTGTGCCTGTTTATTTCAATATGACAATTAGCATATTTGAAACGTGTGCTTGGTGTAGAACCCCATAAAGCACACACCTGTTCACCCATCAACTTTATTTGAAAATCTCTGGGGCCAGCAAGATGGATCGGTGGGTAAAAGTACTTGCCACACAGGCCTGATGGCCTGAGTTTGATCCCGGGAACCATAGTGGTAGGAGGGAGCGGGTTTTGAAGGTGGCCCTCTGACCGCCACACTGGTGCTGTGACACCTGTGAGCACACACACACACACACCAGACTCATATCCACACAACTAGAACTCCGCTTCAGACGGAAGGTCTGTGTGGCCGAGCCGTGAGGAGACTCACCGTGGCGCTGCAGGCGCACTGCACGCGGGTACCGTCTTCCTCCATGTACCTCAGGTTGCCAGCAATCAGCCCCTTGGAGGTGGATAACTGGGAAGAGTAACGCATTTGAAACCATCCCCATCAGTACCCTTGTTGCTACAGGCCTCTCCTCATGCTCACCTCCTGAGATATTATTTGTGTTTCAGCTTAGATCAGAATCTGGGTGGAGTTGGAGGGGAAAGCGTGTGAGGGTATTTAGGAAATGAAAACATCTGGAAAGGTCAAAGGAACACATTGGGAACGGATTAAGGTTATGCTGAGAAAAACCCTGTCAAATGTCATGAAGAGGGCAGAGCACACTTCTCCCCCAGACAAGTTCTCGCTGTGTGGCCCTGGCTGCCTGCCTGTCTCTGCCTCTGCTCTGGAAGTAAGGGCAACTCCCCTTTGTTTTGTGACAGTATTTTGTACTTGGAGTGGCTCACCACATGCAGACTCCTCCTGGGCACTTTCAGCATGCAGGAAATGTCATCTATAATGTTGTCCACTGAAGCTTGGTTCCCAAAGAGCTGGCTGTCAGTGTAGTATATGTCTCTATGGAAATGTGAGGTGACATTGTGAATGAGCATCCTGTCCTTGGACTGTGACAGGTATGTGGAGGACACTTACCGCAAGAAACACGGCATACAAGGAGAGCTACTTATTGCCTGGGGTCCAGGTTTCATGGCTTTTCAAAGTATATTTTAAAAGTTAACAGGGGCTAGAGGGATGGCTCAGCAGTTAAGAGCACTAGTCATTCTTCCAGAGGACCTGGGTTCAATTCCCAGTACCTGCATGACTGCAAACAAGTATCTGTAACTCCAACTCCAAGGGAACTGACAGCATCTTCTGGCTTCTTCAGACTCCAGGCGTGTGTCACACAGACACACACGCAGACAAAACACCCATACACATTAAATTTTAAAACATTTCATTTAACTAAATTTTTGAGAATGAATTTGCCAGAACAGTATGCTTACCTCTTGGTTGCGTAAGTGTTGCTCTGTACTAGTTTATAAATCATGGACAGTATTTTCAGAATCAGAGCTGGAAAATAAGACATAAGGAACAATCTCTCTCACTAATTTGAAAGATACTGTTATCAAAAACTTTAACTGTCCCCACTGTTTGTCTATAATGTTTTAAACATTATCTTTCTAAAAGAGAAGAGTTAGGTAAGGAATAATTATAAAAGCAAATTAGAGTAATCTCCCCTGAACATGAACATAGACCATGCTTACTTTGAGTGGCTCCCAGGGTTACTAACAATGACAAGTCTAGAAGTTTATTTATTTATTTATTGAGACAGGGTTTTTCTGTGTAACAGCCTTAGCTGTCCTGGAACTAGGTCTGTAGATCAGGCTGGCTTCAAAATTAGAGATCTGCCTGTCTCTGCCTCTCAAGTGCTAGGATTAAACGCATGTGCTACCCCCCTCAGCCTAGAAATTTATTAAGGGCAAGCTACCTATTAAAGAACATGTGAAGACATCTAATTATGAACAGCTAAGCTCTAGAAATAACTAACTCATTTATCCTTGATTACTCAATGCCATGAAAGGTTAACTTACCAAATTTTTTAACTGATTTTGGTGAATCGCTTTTGATTCTTTTTGTGGTGCACTGAGGTATCATCTGAAGGCCGACAGAATCGTCAAAACTGTTGTTTTGTTCAAAACAAAAGAACAAAATGGGAAAGACTTAATTCCTGGACGCACACTTGGTGTGACCCTCTGCATACCATGTACGTGTGCACAGAGGCCAAAGGTCAACCTTGAAACCTGTTCTGGGGTCCGGCACCACCTATCTTGTTTTAGGAGATCATCTTTGTCTCACTGTCCTGGCACTCACTGGCCACCATAGCCTGGCTGGTCTGTGAGCCCTGGGGATCCACACCCCCAGGCCTGGGATTGCAGGCCTGTGCCGGGGTTTGCTTTTATGGGGTGCTGGGCAGCCTAACATGGCTGCTTCTGCTGCACAGCAAGCACTTCAGCCACTCAGCCATTTCCCACGTTTCCTCTCTGTGAGCAGTGGAGATTAGGAACGCCAAGGCTCAAGTTGCTGCAGGAAGTTACTAGCTGACTAGCAAAGGTGGGTGTGGAATGTGTGTACATCGTTCTTTTGGGGAGACAGTGTGTGGAATACTTACATACATTTTGCTATTATGTATTTTACTTATTTTGCCATTAGTCCTCCTCAGTTAATAATCCTGTTCAATTTAATACTAAATTTTGAAATGTTGTATTTCAGTTTACCCGCAAAGTCAGTTTGTTAAACTGAACCTCTCAGGCTCTCCTAACGGTGGCAGAAAACACTAGGAGAATACACCATGTAGCAGTTGCTTTGAAGCTATGTGAAATCCATCTTTCAAAACACATTGCCCAAGTATACATCTTATGCTAATTATATTACAATAACACTTTCAAAGGGTCTCCTCTAGTCCCATTCCTCTGTGGCTTTGACAAAGTCTGACTGTTTGGGGTTCACTAGAAAAGGCTGCACAGGCTAAAAGGCCCAACCTTTGTCACTAGGCTGGAGAACTTGGATAAAGCTGGCAGACAAGGACTGAGCCTTATGCCTGTGCTATGTGTCAGGATGCGTGCGGTCTGCATGTCTGCACTGCCTGAGCAATGGCTTGCTTTAGCAGAGTGGAGGACAACCACACCAGGTGTTTCCCCAGTGCTGAGAAGTGTGGCTCTACACTTGGTGTTTTGAGCAAGGGCAAACTGTCTTTGAGCCATCCCCGCCCTCAGTGTGGTTCTAGCTAGACCCCTTGTAACACTGACTCCAGTTCTCACCGCCCTGCAGTCCTGGCCTTATCTATCAACTGAATTCAGTTCTCACCGCCCTGCAGTCCTGGCCTTATCTATCAACTGAGTTCAGTTCACACGGTCCTGCAGTCCTGGCCTTATCTATCAACTGAGTTCAGTTCACACCGCCCTGCAGTCCTGGCCTTATCTATCAACTGAGTTCAGTTCTCACCGCCCTGCAGTCCTGGCCTTATCTATCAACTGAGTTCAGTTCTCACCGCCCTGCAGTCCTGGCCTTATCTATCAACTGAGTTCAGTTCACACCGCCCTGCAGTCCTGGCCTTATCTATCAACTGAGTTCAGTTCACACCGCCCTGCAGTCCTGGCCTTATCTATCAACTGAGTTCAGTTCACACCGCCCTGCAGTCCTGGCCTTATCTATCAACTGAGTTCAGTTCACACCGCCCTGCAGTCCTGGCCTTATCTATCAACTGAGTTCAGTTCACACCGCCCTGCAGTCCTGGCCTTATCTATCAACTGAGTTCAGTTCACACCGCCCTTCTGTGGGGCCTGCTAATTTTTATGGGACAGGTAAAGGGGATGAAAAGAACAACATATGACTACAACTCTAAACCAGATTGAAATAACATAGGTATTGCATTTTAAAACTGCAGGGTCCAGGCATGGTGGCACATGATTTTTTCTTCTATTTTTATTTTGGTTTTTCTTTTTTTCTTTTTTCAAGATAGAGTCTCTCTATGCAGCCTTGGCTGTCCTGGAACTCACAGAGATCTACCTGCCCACCCAGCCAGGCACATACCTTTAATACCAGCTCTAGGGAGTCAGAAGCAGGCAGATCTCTGAATTTGACATTAGCCTGGTCTACATTGTGAGTTCCAGGCCACCTGGGCATTACAGTGAGACATTCTCTCAGATAAATAAATAAAACAATAAAACAAAACTTCAGGGGCTGGAGAGATGACTGGGCAGTTAGGAGTGCTTGCTGCTCTTACAGAGGACTAGAGTTCAGTTCTCTGCACCCACATTAGGTGGCTCACAAGTGTCTGTAACTCCAGCTCCAGGGGATCTGACACCTTCTTCTGGCTTCCATGGGCACCTGTATGCACATTCATACACACACACACACACACACACACACACACACGCACACGGGCACACACACACATGCACACCCAGAGGCAAGCACACACATCTTTTTAAAATGAAGAAATAAATTGCAAAATGCCCACGTTATGTTTTCCCAGCGCGATCTGTTGTCTATTGTGAAGGCAGGCACTTCATTTCTTGCCAAGCTTTTGATTATGTCTTGGATAATGTTTTCTATAGATGTAAGAACCTCAGCACTGAAACAATAAACACACGATGATTTAATTTGATAGCATGTAATGTTTCCCAGATCAATACAATTCCCTTCCCCCCAAGACAGGGTTTCTCTGTGTAGCCCTGGCTGACCTGGAACTCGCTTTGTAGACCAGCCTGGAACTCATAGAGATCCCCCTGTCTCTGCCTCCCAAATGCTGAGACTAAAGGTGTGTGCTGCCACCTCCTGGTACAACTTCTCTATTTCATTAGATTTTTGTTGTTTTCTCTTGCTTTTGGAGACAAGGTCTCACAAGGTAGTGGAGGCTATCCTGGAACTCACCATGAAGTCCACAACCCTGCCTTGGTCTTCTGAGTGTGAGGATTACAGGTGTTGGCCACCATATCTCCCGTTTGTTCTCTTTTTTAAGCCTTGGAAATAAATGCCAATAACCATCTCTCTCAGACAACTGTGTTTACAGTGGTTACTCTCAGAGAGATTAGCTTTCCCTGGAACTTCATCTCTCAAATAACCTTTTTGCATTGACGATGAGTTAATATAACTTACAAATGCATTTTTATTTGCTCACATTAACTCACTTCAATGACACTGAACTTCAATACAGATTTGGCTTGAAATACTATTGTTAAATGTTTTAACTAAGGATGATGTGGACGGGCTTTGACACGCACACACGCATTCATGCACGCATGCCCACGAACATAGCTGCTTGTAGCATAATGCCCTAATTGATCTCATGCCTTAGAAATTAATCATCTTTAAATTTTAGTGATTCAAAAGGAAAACATTAATCACTACCAGGAAAGGAATAAATTGTGAGTTCTGTACTAAATGATTGACTTGGCTACTTAAACCAGACCACTTTACCACAAAATATCAAGACTGAACCCAGTTTTCTGTCGACTGGCCGTTAATTTCACAAACTATCAGCTTTAAAAAATGTTGTTCTAAGTAACATTGGCATATTGTCTAGGAAGGGAATCCAAGTTAAACACAGAAGGTGGGCAAAAATGTTGATTATAGTGTCCACAGAGTCTTCATGTTTTCACTGAAAAAAAAAGTAGATCAGAAAATAGATATTAAAACATTTAGTATGTCCCAATACAGTAAAGACTAATGACTTGTTGCTTTTTCAAAGCTTGGAACAGTTTGGGGAAAACACTGAAAAATTTAAGACATGATGAGATCAATCCACATCTTTGTAGTCAACAGGGATTCCCACCATCTCCTTTCTCTTTTGTCCTAAATTCTCCCAGAAACTAAATCCTTTTTGTAAAACTTGTTTGCCTGGGGGGTTTTGGGTAACTGGTTTGGGCTTAAAAACAATGTGTTTAAGATACAAACTGGTGATAAATGAGAAAGGAAATCTGTGAATCATATAAATGCATTTTTTTCCTGTAGTCAATTCCACCTTGGGTGGTAGGAGAATAGTTAATTTTAGATAAATCACTTATAATACACTCATCTGCTCCCTACAGGTCAAGAAAAGTGTCTTATCGTAAATCACTTAAAATGTTGATATCCTTGTTGTTTAGAGGGCTTTACGTTTTTCCTCTTTTCTTTTCTTATCCCTCGCCAAAAGTCCCCAAACTTATAGTTTCATAATCTGTTTTGTTTCGATACGCAAGACAGGGTTTCTCGGTGTGTCCTGGCTGCCCTGGAACTCGCTCTGTAGACCAGGCTGGCCTGGAACTCACAGAGATCCCCCTGCCTCTGCCTCCCTAGTGCTGGGATTAAAGGCGTGCGAGCCACCAACACCCTGCTTTCATTAATTTTTTAAAATATAAAACATAAAGCCGAATGAAATCTCAGACTCCCTGAGTAGAAAGGATATTGCGAAACCCAGGAAGTAGGGTGGAGGGATGCTCCTGGAACATTCTAGAAAACAGCTGGTGTGGACCGGAAGTGGTCACCAGGTTGTTGTTGTTGAATTCAAAGTGAGAGTTAAGGGCGCTTTGGGAGGCCTGGTATCAGGGCTGGGGCGGGCAGGCGGGCGTGGCGCTGACGCTCTCCTCACAGCGGCCCCCTCAGCCGAGCCATCTGCGGCCTCCCCTCGCCGCCGCCGCGCTGTACCTAGAGGCCAGGCGGGTGGCCCCGGCAGGACTCTCCCCTGCGCCTGTCTTCGCCGCGGCCAACAGGGAAGCCCTGTGCCGCTCGAGCGCGTCGAAGAACGAGGCCTCGGGCCCTGGGGGCGCGAACGCCATGATGGCGGGTACCGCGACGCTTCCGGTACCTGCGACCCTGCCGTGTGCGCATGCGCTTGGGCCCCGCGCATGCGCACGCACGGCGCCACGCGCCACGGGGACGGAGTGCGCAGGCGCCCGTGGGCCTCCGCGGAGTCTGGGAGCTTCCCCGGAGGACGCGCCGCTGCTGGTGCAGATCTAGCCTAGTGTCGAGGACCCGAGGCATCTTTGGCAGGATAACCGAGGGGCAGTAACATTTGCAGACACCGGGCTGGGGAGATGGCTCAGTGGTTAAGAGCGCTGGCTGCTCTTCCAGAGGCCCCGAGTTCAATTCCCAGAAACCACGTGGCCGCTCACAGCCATGACCTGGTGCGTACATGCAGGCAGAACATTGCAAACTCCTTTGGGGGAGTCATTTCGGGATATCGGTGAGTGGGAGCAGATGTGGCTTCCCGGCTCGGCACCGGGTCATCTCCACCTGCCTCGGCCTCCTGAGTGCTGGGATTAAAGGTTCTTATTGTCGTCCCAATAATGTTTGGGACTTGCTTTTATTCAAAAAGTTGTTGCTGGGGCTGGAGAGAAAGCTCGGCAGTTAAGAACGTTAGCACACCAAAGCCTCGCTCCAGTTCTTAGAACCCATCACGTGACTGAAAACTGCCTAAAACCCCAGTCCCACGGGACTTCATGCCCTCTGGTCACCGTGGGTTCCTGCATGCATGTGGTACACACACACAGAGAAATGAAAATATTTTTAAAAAATAAATGGATCCTTTAAAATATAAAGTGAGGTGTTTATCTGAAAATGGGATTTCCTCCCTAAGGATTTAGAAAGTGAATGTGACTCGTTCTCCATGCAGACTGCCTTAGCCATTTCTTGCTGTGCTCTCCCTGAGCCTTCTAGAGGACAAGGCAGATTTCTGAGGCCCTGGGAAACACCCTCGACTCTCAGGACCAAAGAGGAGAGAGTGGAACAGATGGTGATTTGACACCAGGAGCATGATGGGATGTGGGGTCGACCCCAGAGCCACCTTGTAGTGACCAGCTCCCTATTTCAGCAGCCATGACAGGCTACCATGTGCTTGCATGACCTTGCCATTCCTGTCCTGGTCACTGGTCAGATGCCCTCCTCGTGGCAAGGAACCAATCAGAAGTTAGCTGGCGGGGCTGTGCTTTACAGCTCTGGGTGTGCTTTACAGACAGAGCACAGCAACCGCCCTGGGAGGGCCTATGGGCCATAACAACCAGTTGACCAATCAACACAGGGCAGGTCACCCAAACCTGGAAGCACACCAATCCTGAGACTGTTTCATATCCCTAGAGACTCCCCTTACGCTGCCCTTTAAGGTCCCTGCTTCGCAGGTTCTTGGGGGTCTTTCTCCAGCCATCCGCCATGGTGGATGGATGAAGGGCCCAAGCTAATGGGGTTAGCTCGTTAAATAACTTCAATAAAAGACTCTTTGCTTTTGCATCAAAGTGGGCCTCTTGGTGATTTTGGGGCTCAGAATTTGAGCACAGCAATCTGACTACAGGCTCCCTGCCTCATTTTTTTTTTTTTAGATTCAAACTAGTTTCTGAGCAGAAACAATGGACTCTTCTTGTCCACACTAGCAACCACCCGTGTGCATGTGTCTCTGTGCACAAATATTTTTGTTTGTTTGGGGTTTTTTGTTTGGTTTGTTTGGTTTTTCGAGACAGGGTTTCTCTGCGGCTTTGGAGGCTGTCCTGCACAAATCTTAGTGAGGAATGGGGGCGCTAGCTGTCAGTTCTCAGAGAGCTCACAGCCCACGGTCAAGCTGACCAGGGGAAAGAGAAAGGAACACTTAAAATGCGTCAAACTCATCCTGTTTCCAGACTCATGGAGGTTGCCGTGTACGTGCAAGGTTCAGTTTCAAACCGGGAGGGAGGTCTTGATGCCAGGTTCATATCAAATCCTTAGGAACCGGTGCCTACAGGGGTCTGGCACAGAGTGGGTCTGCATTTTATAAATAGGAGTCTTCCTGGCAGAATTAGCCTTTTGGCCTGGGTGGTGGCTTTTTGTTTTAGTTTTCCTTCCAGATGGGAGCCCCGGGGGGGGAGAGAGAGAGGGGGGGCAGAGAGAGAGAGAGAGGCAGAGAGAGAGAGGCAGAGAGAGAGAGAGGAGGCAGAGAGAGAGAGAGAGAGAGAGAGAGAGAGAGAGAGAGAGAGAGAGAGAGAGAGAGAGAGAGAGAGAGAGAGAGAGAGAGAGAGAGAGAGGCAGCCTCTCTCCCTGGGGCGTGGAGGGAGAGGGAGAGATGAACAGAGCCATCTGTACCTGCTTGCAGTTCCTACGAGAGAGACTCAAGGTTCAAGACGCCTGGCAGGGGTTCCCACCTAGACAGACAGAGGTGAGGGGGAGGAGGAGTGTTCTGCCCACAGCTGCTTCTGCCCCTGCCCTGCAGGCATCCTGCCGCATTCTGGGGAGAGTAGCCAAGAGCTTGTGTGCCTGTGCCTGCCACAGCTGCTTACAACACCTGCACATCAAAGGCGCCTTCCCGGCCCCATGCCGGGAGACAGAACCAGAAAAACACACTCTGCTCCAAGCAAGCTGCGGCCGGTCGGCGGCGGCGTCGCTGGCAAAGGCTAGCCATAGCTTTTGCTGGGTCGAGTCCTTTTCATCCCGTGGCCCCTGAGTATTCCTCAGACTCCGTTCGGAAGGTGTCTTAGTTTCTTTTTCGGTTGCCACAACAAAACACCCCCAGAGAGGCAACTTAAGGGAGAAAGGGCTTATTTCATCCTGTAGTTCGAGTCAGTGGCAGAAACTCTAGACAGCTGGAGCATGAAGATGCTCGAAACCAGAAATCAGGGATGAATGTGCGTGTGTGTGCGTGTGCGCACGCGCGCGGCTTGGTTAACTCATTTTGTACAATCCAGGATCCCCTGCCCAGAGAATGGTCCTGCCTGATTAAAAAGGATCTTTCCGCATCAACTGGAACAGTTGTCCACTGGAGCTGGAGAGACGGCCCAGCAGTTAAGAGTGCAGGCTGCCCTTCCAGAGGACTTGGGGTTGATTCCCAGCACCCACGTGACAGCTCACAACCACCTGTAACTCCAGTCCTGGAGGATCCAGTGTCCTCTTCCGGCCCCTGTAGACACCTGTCTCCCAAGTCATGGGACTATAGGTGTGTGTTACCACAGCAAGTGGAGACTGTATTTGTTGTTAAAATGTCTAGGTTCCCGGTCGGGGAACCAATGTTGTTAAAATGTCTAGGTTTACTCAGTAACGAGACACAACCCGTGACTCAGCGATCCCACGTGGAGTTTATTGGTGGACAGGGAGGGAAAGGGGGGTGAGAGGTAACCAACCCGTGCAGAGCTGAGGGGGGCGTTGGAGGTGACTTATAAAGGGGATGGAGTATGTGCCTGGTCATCAAGGGGCGGAGTTAATAAAATGTCTGAGTCCCTACAGTATTCCAAATGGAAGTTGTCAAATTTGTTCTACAAGTCTTTAGCAAGACAAAGTGCAAGGAACAGTCTAGGCGGGCATAGAAGAACATGTTGGGAAGGCTTCTCTCTACACGCCAAGAGGCCTTCGACACACGCAACTTAACACGAGGCTAATGATGACTCCATCGCAGAGATATGGGTACAAGAGAGAGCAGCGGGAACTTACCCCCAGGTGTGCTTGAGGATGAGAGCAAAGATGAGAACAAAACACCTTTGAAGGGGCACTCTTCTGGTCAAAATTATCCCGCTGGTAAGATGGCTCAGTCGGTGAAGGCCGCTAAGCCTAAGGACCTGAGTTTGATCCCTGGGACCCACACTGTAGAAGAGAACTGACTCCCAAAAGCTGCCCTCTGGGCCTGGAGAGATAGCTCAGTGGTTAAAGCAATGGCTGTTTTTCCAGTGGTCCTGAATTCAGTTCTTAGCAACCACATGGTGGCTCACAAACATCTGTGATGAGATCTAGTGCCCTCTTCTGGCCTGCAGGCACACATGCAGACAGAGCACTATATACATAATAAATAAGTCATAAGAAAAAAAGCTTACCTCTGACTTGCACACAAACATTGGGGCATGTGTGTACCGGTACTCATACGCAAATAAATATAATCTTAAATTATATTTTATATTATATACAGATCCATAATCCTAACTCTCTTAAGGCGGAGGCAGGAGGACCAGGAGTTCCAGGCCAGCCTGGGACATACGAGGCTTTGGTGGCACATGCCTTTAATCCCAGCACTCGGGAGGCAGAGGCAGGCAGATCTCTGTGAGTTCGAGGCCAGCCTGGTCTACCGAGCAGTTCCAGGACAGCCTCCAAAACAATACAGAGAAACCCTGTCTTGAAAAAAACCAAAAAAAAAAAAAAAAAAAAAGCAAAACAAACAAAAATTATATTACTATCATGGATCAGACTCAAAACCCGATCCTAGATGTACTAAAGACCTATGTAAAGCAAACTTCAAGCAAAAAAATTACAACCAATCAACCAACAAAAAATAAACATCAAGAGGAAAGCAATGGGGAATATGACTTGTTTGTGAGGGGTGATTTCTTTTTCTTCTCTGTCTTTTATTAAGTTATTCACCACCCCACCTGACGAACATTGATTTTAATTTTTACTTTTTGTTTTTTAAAGGACATGGATAAGTTCATTGAGTTTCATATTTTTATATTTTATTTTAAAATATTTATTATTTATTTACATGTATGTTTGTATGTATGTATATGCCCAAGGAGGGGTGTTGGCTCCCTGAACCTGGAGTTCCAGGCAGTCTGTGAGCTGCCTGATGTGTGTTCTGGGAATCAAACTCAGGTCATCTACATGAATAACATGTGCTCTTTTTTTTTTTAGATTTATTTATTTATTACATATACAGTGTTCATTGTAGATGGTTGTGAGCCACCATGTGGTTGCTGGGAATTGAACTCATGACCTCTGGAAGAGCAGTCAGTGCTCTTAACCTCTGAGCCATCTCTCCAGCCCATAACATGTGCTCTTAACCACTGAGTCATTTCTCAAGTCACAAGGGGTGATTTCTTAAGTGATCAGGTAGAAAAGTTAGAGAGTTAGAAATTGCCTTTGAGA